GTGCAAATAGACTCCCTCCCAGGTTCTCCACTTATTATATATATATATATATATATATATATAACCACTGTGCAACGTTTTAGTATCGCACACAATGATGTTTATAATTGCATTTTTATAGTCTCTCTAATTATTCAATTGAAAGGTATGAGAAGCAATTATTACATTATGAATATAACTATGGTTATCAGTCATTCGTCATTCAGTGCCCTCTCTTCCCATGTATCCATCATTTTCCTTTCGTCTTCCCAGTGCATATTTGGAATTCTTGTGTCATATTCGTACTCTTCTAGCACTTTTAAATGTTTAAAAATTAACTTCCAAATGTGACTTGAAATCTGACAATTTCATAATTGCTGATCCAAAAGGGAAATCTCAAAAATCCAACTTTCTTCTGAAAAGAAAGGTGAATTTTTTGGAGAGCTGTTTTCTATTCGAATGCTTTATTCTAATGCTCGAAGGTTGTTAGCCTCAGACTAAGAAAAATTTGATAAAATCTGCATATAACTCAGGCAGAAAATACGGACCGCATTGTTGTATTGCAAAAAATTACATTATACATTTCGTTTCACACATTCTGTGTTAACCATCAGAGAGCGTGGCGCCGCTGTTCCTTCCTAAATGAAGTTTGGTTCTCAAAGAAGTTTATTTTTTCCGAATGATGAAGTTTTCACCAGCCCATCCTTTCATGCATTCAATGGCATAAATCGATGAAGGTGAAAGAATGGATGTCTGCTTCAACTCCATCTTTTTTATAACATTGTTGAATTAAGGAAAAGCGTCATCAGGTTATGTGTGTATAATTTCTATCGCACATCTTAAATTTTTCGTCTTGTTAGTTTTGCGCTTTTCGTTCTCTCTGCCTACATATTTAACATTATATCTAAAGAACCGTTTTTTTGACTGATCTGGAAAACACCTGGGATCTACTGTTGAAGTTTCAAATTTCAATCAGTTTCAAATCCTTCGAAGTATCCGACTTTACTAGTCACTGAGGGTCAGCATATAACATCCCGATACAAAATGATGTCCTGCGTCAGATTTAACTTACACTTTTGCATGCCAATATTTTTTGAGATGGCGACGTTTAGTTTAAGAGATCACCACCTGTTAGCGACAACTTCTTCTAGTTCGCGATGTCATGTTAAATTTCAATTTGCCTACTTTTGAGGTAAACTTGATAAACAAATAAGGAAGTCAGCGTGACACCCGTCAGTAACTAATAGCACCGTGGAATAGTTATGTCAGCGTGGGTGGGACTGTTCTACCTCTTTCCCCCATCTTTCCCTCACCCCTTCTCCTTTTGCAGTTTACGGGGCCAGCGATAGAAAAGCTCCTATTCTTGGTGGGTGAATAAATGAACGCCGCTTAATGGAATTTTATTGGGAATTGTCTTAGGACTCAAGACAAGGCACGGCTGATCGAGTGCGACAAGACTCACAGACCGGCTTCGACCAGCCATATGCCTCGACCCACCATGCAAATTTTTATTATTGGCTAAAGCCAAACAAACTCCTCGACATACACACACATACATACGAACAAATACATTCACGCACATACACATCAACAAACGCAACAGGCATCTCACCTTCCTCTGCCAACGCTACTCACATCACTCTTTAACCCATTTTCTTTTTTTCACCGGTTAATTTCAAATCCTTTCACCTTTTCTACCCAAAAAAACTCAGAAACCGCTGATTTTAGATCTAACCGAAAGGCTTGCTAAAATCACCCTCTACTTCAATTTTTTTTACCCCTTCTCAAAAAGAATTAATGCTAAATACTGTATTCTACAACTTTGTTCCTCGAAAAAGTTTCTTCCAGCGCTAAATTCAACCAGAAATGTTTGTCGCACTTTGGCCATATTTTAGTCGGAACATTCATTACAAACTGTCTTCCGCTTTCAGAATTCGAAATTTACACTGTCTCTATTGAAATTTTAAACTGGGATGAAGTTAAAAATTAAATTACCATGCAAATTCTCATTTTTTCCATTGTTTCATTTCTCCCGCAACGAATCATTTATCGGCGACAGTGTATACTGCAAAAACATATTGAAGTTATTATTATGAAACACATATATTCTTTTTTTGAGGACAGTCGCTACCAATTTTAAACTTTCGTTAGGGAGAGAAATAAATTCGGAAAAGTTTCCGAATAAACTATTTCCCTTACGTTCTTACCCCTTCTCTTCGAACCAGTTGATAAATTTGAACAAAAACCTGAAGTTTCCAGATGAATCAACACTGTCCAATGCACTAATTGAAATACTATGGATTCCAGACAATCCTGGTGGCTTTGGAATCCCTGAATTTCAATCCTTCCGGGGTTTTTTAAAACAAAATTGTCACAAAATGGACAATCGGATTCTTCCTCTCGATTAATCATGAAAGTACCATAGGGTTTAGAGAAAAATATTAGCTAAGGGATCTATATATAGATGTAGTTTATTGGTTGATCTGGGGTCTTGTTCTGCTTCCATTCGGTTCTGCTCTTCACTGATTCGATTCCCTTTCTGAAGTCGTTTTGAAAAGACACATGAGATCTATGTAATAGCTCGTGTACTGTTTTTCATTTCATCGTCAGATTACTGGAGGACAGTGCATGGCGCCGGACAGCGATGCGATCCTCATCAACGTAAAACAGCATTCTTCGACTTTCCCTTCCCAGTTCACATGATTCTTATCGCCATACAAGCAGAAACAAAAAACTTCATTATACGGATTAGGAACAATATTTTTGTACATTTGAGGATGTGATGTATCATCACTTCCGGCTTGATATACGGTATCGCTTGAAGAAATATCACTGATTGTTTGAAAAGTTAGGAGAGAAGAATTAACTGAGTTTTCTAGAAGAGGAAAGGAAAAGCTTAACTATCCAATGTTATTAATCAGTCCTGAGCCATGAAATTCTGGCATAACCAAGTGATCTCGAAAATAAAAAGTCGTGCACTAATTTAGATCATCGTATCGTTTGCATATATCTCTTCACTTTCTCTGGAATTTTCTTCATACATTCTAAAAGTTTTCTAGATGCTATCACTATAAATATTATTAAGACCAAAGAGGTGATGGTTAAGGAATAGAAAGCGGATACAGTGGAAATGTGTGGACTGTATCAGATTTCAGTTTTTTGAAATTCGCAAAATTTTGAAACGTATAAGGGTTGCTTCTTGATTGTTGATATTGCTAAGCACCTTGAGGGCAATCGTTTTTGGCTGCATGAGGCAGTACAACAAGCAATGGTGCAACACAGTTGGAAGGTGGAGAAGAGTGTTTTGAAAATCTATGCGAAGGTGATTAATTAGCAAAAATTAGAGATTGTTAGAAATGTGGAACACGTCGTGTTTTATCATCCATTCACCCAATTACGCCCCTGAACATCTGAATTTGCAATGCCCTCCTCTTCTTAAAGCTACACATAAACTAAGCATCGTTGCTTTTTCCCCTTACCTCGTAGAAACGGACCCCTGTTTAGTCGGCCATTCATCCAAAGCCCCGACCAAAACAATGGATACATCGTTTGTTCCCCATTTCTCCCAGCATTTCCAATCACATACACATACACATATGCATACGCACACATACACATACATACACACACACATACATACACACACACATACACACACACACATACACACACATACATACACGTATACATACACATACATACATACATACACATACACGCACATACATCAAATACATACATACCATACATATACACACATCTATACACACACATATATACACACAGAGGCACAAACAGACACAGGCAGACAGACAGACACACACACACACAATCTTCGCTTTCACATTTTAATGGAATTAAATCCTATCAATATTTCAGGTTTTGTTTTGCATGACTAGAAGGTTATGTACCTCTGAAAACTAAGAATTATTTCAGTTTTCAAGGACATATACGAATTATTTAAGTTCTCTCTGCGTGCTTACCTCTTTTGAACCATTCGGGCTGACAGATACATGAGGTAATTGTGTCCGTTCGCTAAATCTTTAAAGCGTAGGTATTTTTTCTTGTATGTCTCTTCGGTATTGAATGTTGAATTTAATTAAAATTAAGAGGAGAAAGATATTTGAAATAATACTGATCACTCTCTGAACTTGTTTTTTCACCACTTGCAATTTGGAAGACTTTGGAAATATTTGCCTATGAAACATTGTAGTCACACGTCCCAACTTTAGATTTTTAGCATACTAAGATGGCTGAATCGAGACTTGGTCTCTGTAGAGTTTTCCGCACTCGAGCCTGTTCATGATTTCCCAGGACTGAATAATTGTTTTTACGCCAGAAACAAGCATAATATTTGCTAATGATTTATGCAAAGTTTCCTCAGTATATCAACGGTATGCCATATCATTTCAATCTTGAGTGTGGAAATTCAAGACTTTTTCCACACAATCGTTGAACGATGAATTCGTTCTTTCATGGAATTCCTTTTTTTCCACGCTTATATGTAGTTTGTGAAATAGTTGTGATTTGACTATTTTTAGGTTTTCCACTTTTTTCCCAACTTTTCACTTTATTTTAATTGAGAACTGATAAAGCTAACAAGATAGTCGAACTTGATGATTTCGGTTATAAATTCTACCATGTTTTGATACGAACCATTATGTCAGATTGGCTTCTTTATGCTATCCGACCTTGTCTTTTGTGGGATGATCCACAGCCAAATAACTCCATGAGACCAACTGCAGGAGTATTTTCTGCATTCAAGAAAAGTTTAACTTTCCGATGCAAAATAATATTTATTGTTGTAAATAATCCTTAACAGAAACGGGGAATTTCTCAACAGTTCTGAGGCATAACTAAGACAACGAGAATAAAATACAAATTGATATAGAGCTAGAATAAAGTAAAAATAAGAACAAAATATGCTTTTTTGCCGAAGCATCGGTACCAATGGGAGCAAAAAGTTTTTCATGGAAATGGTGAACGTGATTAGCACGATACTGCTTTTATTCTATTCAGCTCTCTACTCCTTCCCAATACAAAGACGATTTTGATACAATGATACAAATGCAGACCATTAACACATGCATGTTGCTCTCCACGTTGCAATTGTTCATTAAAGATAGCTACCATGCAACCGGGACTTGCTTAAATTCGTTTTGCTTAATTCTGGCTTTCTGGGATTCAGGCTATTTGCAAGAATATCGGGTTGAATGAAGATTTTGTCCATTGTAGTGCTATCGACGTTTGGTTGCATGCATACACCTGAGCCACAAAATAATGTTCAATTATGCAAATGTTTGGTCCTCAAATTTTCTAATTGTCGGTGTACATGACAATTTTACTTCTGGTAACCAGAATAGGTAATTGATGATGACTAAATTTTTTATGATTTTCTATTATCCCAACTGTCCATATAGTTTTACTGACTAACTGTTTAGTGTTCTAGTGAAAACTCGGCAGCTAAAGATTTGCATATTCATTAATATTATTGAAAGGAAAACAAAAGAAATGGAATATTTCCTAGTGGCGCTGATTATGTGGGTTTTATGCAATGTGCGTCCAGAATTCGATTTGGCTTGAATTTATGAAAATTTTCAATACATATTGAGCAATATTAACAATTTGAGTACTATCAGCAATATCAACCTTTTATACACTTCAAAACTTTGCGAATCTCAAAAACTGATAGTGACCCGACGCAACTCACAAATTATCTTTTACTTCAAACTTTGCCCTATCTCGATCTGAAAGAAAGACAACAATGGCGTAGTGCACGTATCAGAGAGACGAAATGGAAACTTTTGAGTTGCATAGCCTAGGGTATATCATACTTTCCATGGCCATTTTTATCTATAACTATGTCTAGATGGTCAACTGGCATTAATCCCAAAGGTGCTCAAGATTGTCCTTGGTTAAATTTGTTTTACTTTTTTTTTTTCACTTATTAATACAAAGAACATACGGAATTGAAAAAGGCGAGATTTCGTTGCCTTCTTTGCTAAATAACTATTCATTATGATAGCATTTCATTGATAAATGTTTGAAATCTGAATAATAAATTACTAAATGTCCAATCGAGACCCAAATTATTTTTTTGTATGATAACTATAAAGTCGTACTTATCAACTACTGTTGTCTTGAATTGTTCCCTGTAATTCCTTCCTTTTTTTCTATTCGAAAGGCATTTCATGTTTTTTTTTTTTCCAGTCCTCATCACAATATTCTATACTTGCATTACACTTCACTTTGGTCCGTTATAGAATATTTAAGACAGTTTATTTTCTCGAGTTAGATTTATTTTTCAAAAAATTTAAAAATTATCCTAAATTGAGGAATGTCCAAATTGAGGGATAAAACAAATATTTATAACTTATAAATATTTCTTTTATTTGTTGCTTTATCATGGAAATTTCCGGTTTGGTATACAATATCAAACTTTGTACTTGGCTGTTACTATTTGGTTCCCATTCTTGAGTAGTTCAGGGATTGGCTCTTTTGAGATTGAACGGTAATAAATCACACGATTTTGAAAGCATATGAAAATTAGAATTTGTTATTGGTTTTTTTGCACAAATATAAATCATAAAAGTTGAGTTAATTTTATCGGTCGGTAGTTGCCATAAATCATTTATTTATTAAAATTATCGCGTGATATTAAGACTGTTGATTGTGTAGTCAAGGAAAACAGATCAAAGTGAGGGAAGAAAAGGAAAGGAGGTAATTTCCAGTAAAGACGTAAACTGGTGGGCGCTCTAAACGTCCATATGAACCTTGGAAATCCAGGATAGGAATGTTTATGTTATACGCATGGAATAGGCAGTAATGATAATACGTTCTCTTCTGAGAGAGGAATAGTTGATGAAGTTATAAATAAAATGGATGACTACTTATGCAGGTGTACGGTGCTTCCCCGGTATCTTTCTAGATGAATCCATCGCGTGTCACCTCAACATCCGGTAACAAATGCTCAGTTGCCATTAGCCTAATGCTTTTTCCTTGTTCAGTCCTATCCTCTTCTCATCTTCAACCAATTTCATTCCTACTTTATTTCTTTTTCTTCGTTTAGAGAAGGCCTTCGACTCGATTAACATCCATTTACCTCATATCGGTTTGCCTAATCAGTCACTTCAGTTGCACTCATTTTCTACTTCCCTAATTTTCCCAGATTTGACCTGCAAGCGACTACTAGTTGTGGACTTGATTTCTGCAAACTTTTTCTTTTTTTGTTTTCCAGGGAAGAATTTCCATCATTTCTACCCATCATCTCTCTTCGCTATGTTTCCGACTAATGCCGTTTCTTTGTTGTTTTTGTCGGTCGTCCTTTTATAATTACCATTTTCTACTCCATTTTTAATTCCGTTCTATAAACATGTGTGATTTTTGTCGTCATTTTTCTGTTTTTAGTTTCTTTTTTTAGGTAAAGGTTGACTACATTTATTCATGGGTTCATAGTACAAATAGGAATTATATAGTGAACTCTATAACCGTTACTTCCTGAATTTTTCTTTTTATATGGATTCAGTTTGCAAAAATAAAAAAAAAAAACGATTTATACTTTGCTTAGGCTTAGCTCCTTAATAAACCGTTGCTTTTTAGCCAATAATTGTTCACTGCAAAATGCTATACCGTTATCTTTTCCAACTCGACAAGTTCATTATGTCACTTCTTCCTTCCGTTTCCACAGCATTCGAAATTATTGAGGAGTTCATTCTAATATTTTCCTTACTCTTAACCGACATAAGAAAAAGTTCTTGTCTGATAGCTAAACGATGGACTGAATTCAAGTTTTGATACTGTAATATTGCATAACTTAGTAGCATTGCTTTTTTGTCATCATGAAATTTACATGAATGTTCTATAAAAACGTGATGCCATACACCTTCAGATTTAGGATGTGTATGAAAACTAGATAATTTCAATTTTCCAAACGCGAAGAATTCGCTACAGAGAAATAAAAATTTCGATTTTCTACTCTGAAAATTTTGTTGCAAAATGTCTGGTCGTCGTAAGACGATGCCAACAAGACTTTTGGAAACCGTGGAAACTTATTATCCAGTAGCAACTGTTGAATCAATGCCAAGTACTTCAACCGCTAATGGTGTTCAAACGGTCAAGGGTACTCTACTGATAACAGAACCAAATAAACCAGTGAAAATGTCCACCGAAAAGCTTATTATGGACAACATTGTTAAGGTAATCCTGCATTCCTAATTCATTTTGGAGTTAAATGTTTGGTTTCCTAAATCTTCAAGTTAGAATAAAAGAAGTAATTTGTGAAACTTTTCAGCAAGGAGAAATAACTAAGCATCGTATTATGAGGGAGTTCACTTCTGCTTCATCACCTCGAGGGCAAGTTGATTCGTTGAAGAGCGATACTTCCAGCATTTCTGAACATACCAGGTTTGTGCTGTCGATACAAAGATCATCAAGTCAGTGCACTGTTTTCAGCTAATTTACTATTCAGATGAGAATATTTGTTCATTTTAATCGAACGATTTTATTTCTCTGTCAGACTTGTTCTTCCAAGCAAATTCTGTGCCGTGTATCGGGCGGAAACATGTGGGACAGATAAACAGTCGCTAATTAATTAAAATGTGGACCTAATAGCATTTTCCAGTGGATTATGAACTCTCCAAGTCTTCTTTATGTATCATATTTCTAGTTGATATACCATTCTGAACAACACTTACCAAAATGAAATGTCTTCATTCGGAAAGTCGTACTCTGAGATTTTAGGAAGATCAATAAGTTAGACTTTATTGCTGTAACTTCATTTCTAGATTCTCTAACATCAGACTTTTTTCCATTAGCAACAGGAAGAGCTCGAATTGAAAGATATGGGATGTAGCATCGAATTCTGGACTAGATATCAGCAGCAGTAGTTGAGAATGAAAAGCGATAAGAGTTTGCGCTGTTTTTGCATGTTTCGGAAGGAGACTGCATTTGTTGTAAGGATGGTTGAAATCAGACAAGTTTAGATTTGAAGAACTATAATGCGGATATGATTTAACGTATATTAATTTTTTGATTCACGCACTCAGTCATTCACTGATTACTGAAATTACCAATCTTATCCAGAAACATGGGAGAGGATGGTGAATTTATGATGATTTATCCATTTCTTCAACATTTCTAGCACTATCTAATGGTTGATTGTGATTCTGTCCAGGCGGCAAGACTTGAAAGCTCGCAAGTAAATAATGTTGCCGTGAATGGGATCGGAGATTGTAACTGTGGTAATCATGACTTCTGGAGTTCAGCGGGTTCTTAATTTTACTGTGCTCATGGAAGTGTTCTTACCGCACCATTTCGCACCTCCTATAATAAGGAATTTTGAATGCAGTGAATTCCCAATTTGAATCTTTTCGAAAAAAACATGCAATTTTCTCCACATATTTTTTCTTCTCCTGTGAGGCAGTTTCCCTTAAAAATTTTAAGTTTAATATTTATTCAATTCTTCTTTGTATGACGGTTATTTGAAATGTTGCATCCAGGATACTTCCCACTGATGGCTTTTTGAAAAATTAAAGCATTTCTCATTTCTTTGCTTTCTGATCATTGGTATCTAGTGATTTTAAGTGATCTGGTGTTTTTGGGAGTACATGCCAATGACGAGAGAAGAGCCAGCGGTGTTTTAAGGAAACGTAGTGGTGATTAGACGTTATTTTATGCGGAATCCTTGGTCAGTTTATCAGATGTCGCTGATGCTGAGATGATGAGAGTTTTCCTCGTGTAAGTCGAGATTTCATTTCACACGCAAGATTTATATGCTGAAATAGGTTGGAAAGATGAAAAAGGTGTTTTCATTACTGGCCAAATCAATAATGCCCAGGTCATAATATTATGCTTTGAATAGCCGGTTTTTTTTCCTTTTTTTTGTGAACTTTGCTCTTTCATTAAAACCCGGAATAGGTTTTGATATCACACCTATGACTTCGTCAAGTTTTTAAAATCTTAGCGCTAATTTGCTGAATTATCGTAAAATGTAAATCACTAATAACGATATCCCGCGCGGTATGAGTGTAAAGAAATCGTTATTTACTGCTCCAATCAGTCCAGTCAGTATCTTATCCAGCTAGCTGAATTGTGTATTTATTATTGTGGACTACGAGACCACTCGAAGACTCGTTTTTACTGATAACGACATATGCTCGCGCTGATAAGAGATAGTGAATAGTAAATAATGCGGCCGTCGTCCATTTAGCTTGGTGGTCAACCCAAGTTTTGTCATTTCTAAGCTTTGAAAAAAAAACAAATTTATGGCTGAAATTAAAATCAAACCTACTAGTAATTTGGGTTTTATCATCTTATGTTGTTATTTTAATGGGATTTTATTTTGAACATAATAGCTTTGTATCATTTGTAATTTCTTGAATCATTTCGAACTTCCTTTGGTGGGATGAAGGATCTCCTCTCCACATATTTATACCATTAAAGATAATCTGAGCTTTGGGTAAGGGCTCAAATGAGCGATGCTTATTCCTAATGCTCAAGTTTAAGCAGTCGAAATGGCAGCGCTACTTGCTGGATAGTTCGTAGCTACAAAAGCATTTTGACCAGGTGGCACGGTAGTGAAGTGCACAGCTGTACTATCCGCGAGTATGAAGCCACAGTAAGAGTAGAAGAGATTAGGAAGAAACAAGTAAACTGCCAACTACCCTAATGCTAATTCTTTTTTTCCCAGTTCCATTAAATCATTTGAAAGAATAAAAAAAAAAAAAAAAAAAAAAGAAACGATAGCATTCATCCATGGCATCGTGATATGACGCCATTCTGATTACTCCATTTCCTTTCTTTATTACCATCTTTCTTTATCTTGGCTGCATTTGAAGTTTTAGCAAACAATACTAAGCATGCTTTACAGTTGTCGTGCTTTACATCTGATCGTCCTTTTCACAATTTTTAGATAGTCAAGAATGGTATTGCTTGGAAAACTGTTCCAGTTAACATGTTCTTTAATAGGAATCTCCTCAATTCTCTGTCCATCAAGTTACTGATAACTTGTCTTCCAGCACGTCAGGTTCAGCCGGAGTGACGGATATCCCGGATATCTTGGCACAAACGGAGCATGGATGTCGTGTACTTATTGATGGTCACGCACTGCGTGAGGTCCTAAACAGCGTCGACACGTACGACGGCAAACTTGATCTCGTGCAAGATCTTATTCGACAGGTCGGAATCTTTTCATCCAAAATTTATTATCACTCGTGATTGGCATGGTATCTTCACCATTAAAAATTGCAAAACACGAGTAAGAGTTACCTCTCAACACTGTACTTGAGTTATCGCAATGTTATTTGTTTCACAGTAATAATTCGTAAACTAAGGGACCAATTCATAAGCTTGTGCAAGAGAGCAAGACCACCGGAACTATCCGTTTGACAATTACTTCCATGATGAAAGCAAGGTAGCCTTGCGAAACAGGATCAGGATGATAGCCATCAAATCATTCTGCTGATCAGATGTGACTGATGAGAGGAAGTCAGTTTATCCGAAAACATTCCTGGTATTTTAATGTACCATAATTTTTATTCAGGGGAATAAGAGAAAACAGATTGGATGGTAGGAATTTTGTCCCAAAAAAAAGTAGAAAGTTTTTTATTTTGGAAAAATCGGATGAATTATCCTTTTTTGCAATCTTTTGCAAAAATTGCAATGTTTTATAGCGGAAAAAATTATTCTATTGTTTTGCAACAAAATGGCAATGATTTATGCTGAAAATTCAAAAAAAGGCAATGGCAAAATGACTTCTTTTGTAATGTTATAAAAAAGGCATTTTAATGGCTGTGACTGTCTGCGAAGGCTAACGTTAGCAAAGCAAACAACACAATTTTTTATTTCTTTGTTTAAAAACCTCATGTTACGAAGTCGTAACAAATAAGCAATGCTACCCAGCCTTTTCTTGACCCTTGCTACCGTTCCGTTATCAATTGTACATTTGGAAAGGCGGAAAAAAGTTTGAGGATATTGTGGTTATCATTCCAACATTTAGGCAGTCTACTAGATGGTTCCAACCAAACGTTTTGTGTCATTACCATATCGATCTATTTTCATCGGTTGTTGATAAGGAGCTACAAAAGACTTAAGAACTCAGAATGGGGAAGAAGGAGAATAGAATATCATTATTGTTATCATATGTAGCTTGAACAATCTGATGCGTTCGAATGGGCTTTCGGAATGTCAGTGTATGATCGGTGCCTGAACTAGGAGTTGTCGGTGACGCAAGTTCCCTTTCCGCTTTTCCAATGATTGTCATTGTCGTTCAGCCATAATTGGTTTTTAATGAAACAAACTACTGGAGCGACTATTTCATTGGAAATTAAAACTGTTTTGCTCTATTTACCGTTGCATGCTAAAACGGGCAATCACTTATTAAATGGATTTCACGACTACCCGACAATTTTCAGATTCCATATGGCTTTACTTCGAAATTTTAGTTGAAAGCTGTTAAAGAACGTTTGAGCTGTGGTGAAATACATATCAGCAAAGAGGATATCGAGGATACAAGTCTTAAAGATACGGACGAATTGGTTGCGGAAGCGAAGGAACAAAACTGTTTTCAGGTAGTATTGTTTTTGTAATGTGGATTACATGGGACGCCTTCGTATCTTTGTTTCTTAGACCAATTGCTGTTACCTCCTGTTGCTTACTTGTGAATATAGGATGACGTTTAGATGTACCACAGTTTATTTTGCTGGAATTTGTATAAATTTAATGGACCACAGTAGATTTAAACATATGACACGATACATATGTGAGAGAAAAAAGTGGGTGGGGCATTTGCTTGATGGTTGTCTATTGGGAATGGTTGAAATGCGCTTCCAAAAAGATTTAATATACGGTGAGAAGGAAGACTAGCCAAGCAGAAGGACCCAACTCTCCTGCTGGTGTCTTTAGCCTCATTCAACATCTAACTGGTGACACCGTATTACCATTAAAATTATCGTATCTTTACCTATAGTATATATATGTTTTATGGACTTCCGCACATTTAACTGCTTCATTCCTTTCCTTAAGTCACCCTTCAAACTAGATGCTGTTGTCGGTGCCCTCATACTTCTAATTCTGAACAAGCGAGGGTTGCCTCTATCATATGGATAAAGCATGTGAATTAAGAAGCTTAAATTATAGATGAAGGACAGAATACCCTGGAAATTTCGGAATATTCCGGAAAGGAACAGTTATAAAGAGCCATTACAAGTGGTTCTGGAGAGAAATGGAAAGATTCTCGATGAAACTAACAAGTTCTTTCGGGTTGGCATGAATAATTTAGCTTATTTTTCATTCCATTATTTGCAGAGAATGTCAGCTGGGAATTTAGATGAATTCATGATTAGGCAACAATACTTTATCCAACAACAACAGAATCAACAACGGTTGCTTGCTATGGCATCTGCCCTTCATGCTGCACAACATTCCAGCGCTGTACGATTAGGTTGTATGCTACCGTCTGGTACCGCTTTTTATTCAAAGCTTAAACGAGCTTTCTATCTCTGATGCTATCAGAAATTTGTTCACCTTTCTAAATGAATGGAATAGAAATGTTTTGTGTCTTTTAATAACCTGTTGTACTACTATACCGAAAGGTAATAATGACAAGTGATGAGTAGCAATAGTCATAATAGTCAAACAATAATTAGCCGGTTGGTAAATCACAAGGTTGAAGTTGCTGAATTCACTGGCGCAATTGGAGTTTAGGGTTTTCGGATTGTTGCGCTTTAGCTCAAAATTTTAGTCACGGGTTCGGAAGCAATTTTGACAATGAATTTTTATATGCAGTAATTTATTTAATATCGCGAACATGATAAACTCAATTCATGGAAGCGCTAAATGCAGAAAGTTATTCAGACTAATTGGCTTAATTTTACTAATAAATGATTATTTAGCAACAACATATGGGCAGTTTTTAAATGGAACGACACTTGGAAACGATTGTGGTGTTCGAACTGCGGCGACAGTGCTTTCCCAAAGTGTTAATAATGAAATGAATAATGTAACCAATCATTTGGGGACAAAGGGGCTCGATTGTATTGATCGAAATGGTTGCGAAACACCGCTGAATTTGAGCAAAGTGAAATTGAAAAGGTTTACATATCTCAGTTTCATTCTTTATCCGTAAACCTCCAAATTTAGCAGAAGAAATTTCACGTTTAATTCATGTTTATAAGTCAAAGAAATCGAATTTGGAATACTGCAGGCTAACGCCATAATCGTTTCATCGCGGTTAAAAGTTAAGAACGATGAAATGATTATGTCCTTAGCCCTTAATGCTGAGAACAAAGAAATGGAGATGAAGGAATTGATCAAATGTTTAACAATAGATCGTTTATTACTTCCTGATAAAGTTCTTATCTTTTTGACTTCGATTTGTAAATCAGTTTGGTAAAAAAAAAGGAACTTTGAATTACATGTCTAACGAGAGATTTAATTAAATATAAAATGATTGTTGAGCTTTGAAATGAAATCTCATAGTACAACCAACCCACAGCGTTTGAGTAATAATTGATGTATTTTTTTACTTTGCCAAAAACTTGGAACCCAGCTTTCCACGAATACATTTATTGCTAACAACTATTCCATAAATTAAATCGATTGGAACATTATGGCGTTTTTTGACAGGTCCAAAAGTATTGTAATTTGATTTATTTACCCTTGTTATTACTGAAAAGGGAGGAAATTTTCGAAGCCTATTAGTGGATGTGGAACATTAGAAGTAAATTTTTGCAGCAGAATATAGCCACTTTTTTTTGACTGCCAAGTTATTTGTTTTAAATGAAATGTGACAAATATTTTTTTTTTTTGCAGTCCGACAGATCATTCCAAAGCACGTAAAGTAACACTGCTGAACAGTACTAGTTCAAAAAAACCAAGCTCACCATTTGAGCAACAAATTCCCAACCGACTACCTTGCTCTTCGATCCCACATTCTTTTGCCTCCGAAAGTAAGTGGATTTTCAACAGTGAATTGGAATATATGGTAATTTGTAGTGTTTCGATCATCTGACATTGATATTTCGCGTTATCATTGGCCCAGTTGTTTGGTCAGATGCTCACTCTATCCTTAGCATTTGTCAGTTCACTGCAATGGTAGTAGTGAAATAGTTTCGTGAATCAGTCTCATGAATTTTAAAATCTATCCTGTTTAATGTTTGGGAAAAGAAAGATGCTCAAGTTAGAATCGGCCCTTGAGAAGCATTTGCAATTTTTTTTTTAGCATCAGCTTTCACTAGTCATTCACCGGGTTCATCAGGAGAAAGCACACCTGGAGGGGTGGTGACTTCAGATAGTATTCCGGCTCGAATTCCTGCCAAGTCACCGAATCACATCAAACGCCCGATGAATGCCTTCATGGTCTGGGCACGTGATGAGCGAAGGAAAATCTTGAAGGCTTGTCCAGATATGCACAACAGTAATATTTCAAAAATCCTTGGTTAGGTTTGAAAATTTTAATCGCAGTGATGGAAAGTCAAAATATATTGTAATCGAGTGTCTTTATATGTGTTGATTAAACATAATCGATTTTGAAAATTACAGATTTTTAAAATTTTTTTTTTCTGAAGTGTTTTAATGTAGGATCGAGGTGGAAGGCAATGTCTAATACAGAGAAGCAGCCATATTACGAAGAACAGTCCCGATTGAGCAAGTTGCATATGGAGCAACATCCGGATTATCGTTACAGGTATCATTATTTTATTGGAAAAACTTTAATTCCCTGGTTAAATTTTTTCTATTTAAAAGGAAATTATAGAATTCTAAAACGTGGAAATTATATTTTCCATGATTTATACGCTTTTCATTATTTTTAAGGCCTAGGCCGAAACGAACATGTGTGGTCGATGGCAGGAAAGTACGTATCAATGAATACAAGAATTTAATGAGAAACAAAACAGTGGCAAATTCAGTTGGTACCACTGGTTGTTCGTCTGCTACAAGTGAATGGAGTAGTGACGTTGATCAGTGTGGAGCGACTGTGAGTCCTGGATCTGGTTCCAGTCAATCCTTAACAGTTAACAGTAATCTACTATCTACATCGGCGGCAACAGCAGTGATACTTCCCGAAAATAATAGTGACGCTACCACACATTCTCGATCATTCTCATCTGTCGATTTTGCCAGTCTCAATGGCGCTACAGTGCTCACCAATCTAGCCCATCATCATCATTGCCATATGTTACAAACCGCTGAATAGCACCGTATCATCCTTTATTGTTCCACCGTCCCACTTTTCTGTACTTACCATCTGTTTTTGAAAGATTTTGACTTTCAAATCAGTTGTTTGTTTCTATAGCGAATTTCAATTCACTTAATGATCCAAGCTATTTGTTTTTCCTTGCGAGGTTGAAGTTAGTGAAAAGTAGATTTTATTCAGCTTCTCGTTAAAAGGATCAAGATTACGAGAAAGTTCAAAAGTTGGTCGAAAACAAACGAACAATATAACCTCTAATGCTGGAAGAGGCTTTTCGAAGGAAATTCACTCTGAGATCTTATGAAAATTTCATTTTGATTAGAAGAAATCCAAGATGTTAGAGATTTTTTTAGCGTAAAAATTTGTTGACGTTTGTTGGAAGTTTGTTGACGTTCGTAATGATCTATCAGTTACACAGAAAATAAATATGTTGATTATGAGAAGAGTGAGGTTTAATGAGAAGTATAATTAACATGTTGTGATGTACATAAATGTTTGTGCGTTATTTTATTCCAATACACTCTTCACTGATAACGCCCATTTGTCAGGTATTTCAAATATATGGCGATAGGGAAGCTATCATTTGGTACAAAATATTTTCTTTCTTATTCTTGGAAAACCAATAATGCTAAACAGTTTTTATTCCTTCTGTGTTAACATCATGGTTTTTGTGTATCACTTGGTTCTACACTCCATATCAATAAGCATTTCATTGTTTTCATCTTCGTTGTGATCATAATTTAGACTTCGATGTCTCATAATGGCGTGTGTTTCATTTTTATTGTATTCTCATACGTATTAGAGATGTCATTTTTATTAGAAATTGACTTAGATATTTCATCATATTTTTACCTTTTTTTCTACCTAGTCTTTCTAAATGTATATTACTCATAATCAGAAATAAAATATAATTTGTAATTCGTGCGTTCTGAAAAGGCACATTTCCGGTTCTTTCATATTCTCTTTCCTGTATATACGAGAATTCGTGTTTCCTTATGATTGACCCGGACTGTGGTGTTATACGAGAAAAACGTTCTTGCGAAGACTTAATCATCTCAAAGTTGGTGCTGTTTTAAGTGGTAACAATTTGAAAATTATAATTTCTGGCTGGTTTGATTTTTAATATAATTCTGTAGTATATTACTCTGCAGTAAATGGCTATTTTTCCGTTTTTTCAAGTTGACAGTGAACAAGCTCAACTTAAAATATATGACATTGGTAAATTAATGGTATGGAATGTAAGGTATTCCGTGAATTCGCAGTATTCATGAGTATTGAAGCATAAACGACCGATGTGATGATTTTCTTTACTAACTCTTCGGAGATTTTAAAACGAAGGGACGCTGTAGTATGTGTCACTTTGTACAACACAAGAAAGATGATGTTCAGCGACAGATAACTTCAGTGCACATTGCAAGACCTTGTATAATTTTGTACTTCAACTCAGATCAACGATGAAAGCGCCTCATTTACCTTTTCTATTGATTTCAAGTGGAACCAAGCTTAACTGAGAGGTGTTTGTAATCTGAAAAAAAGATTTGTCTTTTTATATGATTGACCCTTCCACATGTAATAAGTTCCTAGTTCTTCGCTGGTTGCTGTGACTAGCAATCAGTAAAGTCATTCCTAGTAACAAATACTTCCATAAATAAATCATTTGTTTGGTCTGAAACATGTGGCGAAAAGAGTTCAAACAAATCTCGAAGTTTAAACTAACAGACCGGAATACAGGAAACAATTTAACAACGGCTAATTAATGCCTATATTTTATAGAATATTGTACGTACCCTACGAACGTTCATTACCATAGATAAGCAATGTTTTCAAGTTTTGTACTACTTTTTCATGGTCCTCATATTAAATAATGTATCCGGTTGTGCATATTTCGGATTCAATATTATTTATGCAAATCGTTCAGCTTTCTTCAAATTTCGGAGCTCCTTTCTATTTACATTTAGAAAAACCACTGGATAACATCTAAATGGTACGAAATATGACAATTAGAAAAAAGTATTGGTTTTCAAATTGAAGTTTTAGCTGTGGACGAGATCTGGAATCGATTTGCAATTGAACAATAGAGGATAATAACTGAAACTTAAAGTGGAAAGTAGTTTCACCTAGAAAAGCTTCAAGAGATCAATCGATTAGCACCAAATATCACCTCACTGTAACATAAGAGCAGAAGCACTGCATATCATGAAGCGTATTATTGATGGAATAACGTAAACTTGAATAGCAGAATATGAGACTGCTGCGGATAACGATCCCTCTCTAACATTTAGCAAATTATGCTGTTGCAACCAGATGTCGTACTGATACGGCTCTTCCACAAAATCTGCGATATCTTTTGGTAAATCATCCACAACATGAATCTTCCAGCCCATATTGTATGTAGAATAACTCTGTAACAGTTTCACTAAATATTAAAAACCAATGAAAAGTAGAAGGAAAATCCACCTAATCTGATAAGTTAAAAATAAAACGAATGAGTGGATTCTTCATTTGGAAAAGTTACTTGATAATAGAGAGTATCGGGGGTTTCAGCTGTTGGAGTGAAGTGGAAAGTTGCTGTTTTGGATGTTCCAATGCATTTTAACTTAAGTGAACGCCGATACTCAATGAAGCTATTGAATTTATCAGCGTCTTCATCGTCTCCACCATCGTGAGACCATAAACATAGGCGACCGGCTGTTTCATTTGGGTTGTGTCCAGCTACTATTTTCACTTGCTGCAATGTAGCTAAATATTTTTTAAGTACATAAATTTTGGACGGATTATAGAATTTAAGTTTAAAATAGAAAAACGAAAGTGAAAACCATTAATTAATTTTCTATAAACTAAGAAATGTTTCCGTACTTCTCGTTCATCATTGGACAATTTAGCGTATCCGCCAAACGGATCATCTGATATGTACAGAGGATTGTAAAAATCGCTTGTGGACTTATCATTACCACCTTCGACACTAAAAACATCCATCATCCCCAATGCTGATATTCAAAGATTATCGCTGATCACCCATGATAATTGAAACAAGTTTTTGTGCTTACGGCGATCGTCTACCGTTTTATCGACAAATATAAATTTATTTCCCACCGGAAATCTTAAAAAATTCTTAAGCACCTACTCATCTTTATAATTTTGTAATCAAAAAGTGTGCAAACTTCTTCAACATTTACTTGAATGTATATGTGACACCACGCTTCAAATAAATATCAGCCAAATAGCCATTCACATACCACACATACTTTGCTGGTCTAGCATGTGCCATGAACTGTAACAGTAACTTAAATTCTGCTGTTTCTTTTTGAAAATCTAATCCACAATATTAGAAGTTCAGTAATTGTTTGATCAAACATTAACAATTCACATCTATTATCAGGGAAAGCAAAAAACTACCTGGTAACCTCTTCGACCGCCAGGTGGTCCCAACTGAAATGTGAAGTTTAAACGATCATCTGTCCCCAGCAATGAAATTAATGCCCAACCGTCAATTTTGGAAAGTTCTATATCATCGAACTGAAAAGTACAGTAACTGCTGGAGAGTTGATCTGAGAGTCAAGGTATTTTCGAACATTGGTACCAGGAAATGTTCTTGTTAGGAAAGCTTTAATTTGTTAAGACGGATGGAGGATTTGTAATGCAATACATTCCTAAATGCATTTCAGGATATATGATGGCTTTTCCATCCTTCTGTTTCTGATTTTTCAAATACTTTCAAATTAAAAAGCCGTCAGAAAATTCCATAGTCTACCGCTAAGTAATTTCAGTATAAGAAGCTATGTAAACATAGTGAGTAATCTCGGAGAAATTTTCATAATGACTTTGAATGAAAAGAATCGACTGACTCGTTTCTGGGGCGGTATATAGGGAGGTATTCTTTGGGATACATTCATAATAGACACATGTCCGAAATCAACCCGAAATTTGTAACAGTAAACGGATAACCAGTCAATATGATTAATATCATATTCCACAGGTAAATCTATGATTATGTCCTGTCCACCACGATATCGCTCATTCATTGCCGTTATCCTGAAAACATGAATAATCATCAATCATGAACTTTCCGGAAATGTGAATTCCTCTTTATATTCATATTTTTTAAAATGAACAACGGGTCTCAAAATGGAAAGACACCTGAATTACAAAGACTTCAAATATTGCAACTAAATTGTGTTAATACGATTGTTAACACAATTTAAATTGTTTAACGACAACCTAGATTAAACAACTAAATTGTTTAATTTAAGTGACCGTTAAATTTAATTCATTATATTAGAAAAATTACTATGCGGACATGTCAAAACTCACATTCCGGCAGTGTCTCTTCCACGTATCGATACTTTGACTCCAGAATCATGCGCAACATTTGGTCCTCGACCAACAAAAAAGTATCCGTCTAGGAACAAATTTACGTTTAAACCAGAAACTTCAGAATTAGATGGAATTAGTAAAATTTGATCGAAAGACTTACCTGGTGCTTTATCACCATCAAAGGTAAATCCAAAAATCTTAATTGTTCTCCTGTCAATTATCAAAATAGGTCCCGAACCAACATTATACCGGCTACCACGCAATTCAGTAGCTAGAAATTGTGGTTTCGGAATGACTACAGTATCCGGAATTGAAACTGTACCAAAGTTATGCTGAAATTTATCAACGCTTTCTAAAACAAAAATAATCACTGTTGCTTCCAATTTTAATGATTTCCAGTTTTTCGAATTTGTCTTGAAAGTTGTTTTTTCAGAATTCAAAATGTAACGAATTACCTTCATCTTATTTTTTGAATTTCGGTGCAGCAAAATTCCACCGAAACTAATTTAAATATGGACTAATTACCTCGAACTTCAAGCAGAATAGAGAGAAACTTTTGAATGAGCTAATTTTGTGAAGTCCTGGCAATACGAGTACAACTCGTTCCGCATTCTTGTACAGACCAATTGGAGCAACCCTGCAATTAAATATTTTTCACTCCGAGTAAAAAGATGATCATTTGTTGTCAAATTTTTAACTGTGTGTCAAAATTTGTTGAATTTATTTATAATTTGACAAATTTAGATAGTGAAAATAGACATGCCCAAATTCAAATGATGGGATCTTGAGACCGTCAACAGATGGTGCGTCACTTTGGTCGAGCCAAAAATATAAATCTGAAATTATTAACGACCGAAATTATGTGAAACTTATACTTAGAGAACCTTACTTTAAAACTGATAATAAACAAATATTCTTTTTAGAAAAATAGATGTAGCGATAGCAGAAATAGATGAATGCACTTCATTTTTTTCCTATTATAGATACCAAAGGAATCGATAATAATATTAAAACCGCTAATCAGTAAATATAAGAATTTAGCAAGTACCAAATTTTTCTTCAAAACTCATTAAAAACCGCTCCATTGATTTTTTTATGCTTCATTTATAGACTGATAATTTATTATTTGTCTAAATCATTTTAAAGGAAGTCTTGAAGACAAATTGATTTTGCATGATATTTTAACTGATTTTTGATTAAATTACAGAAGGGAGCCGCAAAATGCGTGCTTCTCACTGGACAATTAAATGACAAACAGGAAACTCCATCGGACACAACTAATTCACGACTCCCAGCACCTCATCCATTTCAAATTTTAATACTAACTGTGACAACCCAACCAAAAATATCATCTGAGTGGGAATATATGAGGTAATAATTTAGACAAGAAAAGGGAAGATCAGAAAGGAGGAAAACAGAAGGCAAGAAATTAAGTATTGAGTTAAAATCATGAACATGAAGTAGATCCTTTCGAACCTTCCTCACTTATTGCCGCACTTCATGCAAGCCTATCTTGAAAAAGGGGAAGAAGGGAAGAGGGATTTTTCGAAAGAGTATTGTATCTTACTAATTATGTTGGAAGGCCAAAACACTTTATTACAAGAGATGGATAGAAATAAAATTACGATAGTAGGTCATTTGCCATTTTTTCGTTTTTCTTTTTTTTTTTTTTTTTGTACTGACTGCATCGACGATAAGTATTGGTCGAGAACAATAACTAAATGACAAATAGAAAAACGACATTCTTCACATATAAAAGTCAAAGATTACTATGGTCCAAAGATCATGAACTTAGCACGACTTATATACTTCTAGAACTGATCGGTTTGCAAATCTGTGGACTCATATTTCAACAAGAAACTCAAAGTTTTCAGTCCACTCGAGTATTAAAAAACAGTTCACTTGAAATCCAAATATTGAGTAAATTTTAAAAACGCGTTTTTTAAAGAGATCATGACCAACTGATGTAGAATTACTTATTCTGTTTGAGACTCTTTTACATTGATGAACACAAAAGCTTTAGTTCCCATCATGAAATTTCTTCATAAATATCGTCACAAAGGTCAAGGACTTAAAGTTTTAGGAATGACTTCTTTTTTTTCTTATTTATACTGAGGTAGTTTTTGAACAACTTCAGAACCACAAACATAAGCTTTAGTTGGATAACTGATGGGATTAATATACAGTTAACATGGCAATTACAATGAGTTAGTTAGTAATATGAATATAAGCATAACGGGAGAAATACAGGATTGAATTTTTGAACTATAAGTGACTAAAATTGAACTCGATAATTTTGCATAAAAATTAAAATGAGATTATACATATGCACCGCAGGAAGTGAACTAAGTACTCTTTTTTCCCATTCATCACCGCAGATCATTCACTTTATTTAACGCATGAGTTCATTCATTTAATTCTTCTTATTAATGGAGATTTTGGACTGACTCAATTTTGAAGCTTGCATTGGAAATGATAATATTTATCTTAAAGTAACCATTCCCAAAAGCTTTATTTTCCAAACATTTTTTT